GACTAACTTGCATGCGTCATTGTTCAATTTTTCAAAAAATGAAAGGACACTCTTTTTTTTATCCTTAACATGGTTCATCGTCATTCTGTATCTCAATAAATATCTCATCCAAATCTCACCCTCACCAACCACGTGTCCATGCTTATGCCATTTCTCAATGCATCATTCAAAACTAAATCGAAAAATGGCATGCCTTACCTCTCATCGTCGTCCCTTTGGCCTGAATACTTAGTCACCCAGCTTATAAATTGAAAGTCTAAAACAATTGATTACAATCTACTTCAACTTTCTTTTCCCTTTTTTTAAGCAAAAATCAATTAAACAATAGATTACAGTGCTTCTCAACTTTCTTCTCCTTTGTCTCTCTCTGGAAATTCGATTAAACCAGTGCCGGCCACAAATTATCGACACCGCTTCCAATTTTTTCACCTCCATTATCCCCTCCACGTAACTCCTGATTATTCAGCATCACCCTCACAGTCTCCTTCCTCTTTTTCACCCTTTTTTTTTTTGTTGTGTGCGAAAATGGCTTACAAATTTGCACCGATCGAAATTAACATACTGCCCAGTACACGTTACTTCGGCCGATTTGCAACTTTTCTACCGGTATCGCTAAGAAATTAACTGGTACAGTATAATGCCCTATAGTATATTGGTTTTATGACAAAGCTGATACGAACTGGCCGTACCAACTGGTTCAGCGTGAGATTCACAACTTGTTTAGAAGATTAACAGCTTAATTGAGGGGCCAATATTAGGATTATTCCTATGGAGCAAACCTTGTTTTTTATGCTTTTCGACTTCATATAATGATCTGAACATCTTTACCAACGCCTTAAATCGGTTTGATGGTCTTCAAATCCTCTTCATTGTTTTATCCACTGCCTTACCGTATACTGATATATATCTCTTCATGCTTATCTTGTGCTGAATGTGTATTTTAGTTTGCACGTTCTGAGCGATGTGTGTTACAGTGTGATGTACCATGTGCTGCACAATGCGCCAAATGCATTCAAAGACTATGTAGATTCAATTCCAGGTCACGGTTATGATTATTACCATTACCAGTACTATACAGGTATGCTTTTCTAATTCAATCTTTACTGGGAATTAATACTCATTCCTTACTACTGTATGTTTATGTGCTTACACGTCTCTGTCATTTTGTTATTCTAATAGATGGCGATAGCATATTTCTAGACGTAACAGGTCAGTCTTAATTTCACATTTAAAAAAAATAATCATAATAACTACTTTGCGGGTAATAGTGATACGTAACTATGTGATGTGATCCTGTTCCTAATTTTTTGTGATAAGGTGGACTTATTTTGGCAAGAACTTTGCTGGGGCTATCCATCTTGATGACAATAATTGTGTACAAGTTCTGCAGGAGACATTTGTCTGCAGATGATACAATTGAAGAGTTCCTTAAAAAACAGAACAACTTCATACCTATTAAGTACTCATATTCTGAAATAAAGAAAATGACTAGAGGCAGTGTTTTTGGACCCGGTTCGGCCCGGCCGGTTGAACCGATTGAACCGGACCCGGGCCTAAAAACGGGCCGAGTGCATACCTTGGCCCGTTTTGCAAATTAACCCGTTCTAACCTGCCATAACCCGCCCAACCCGTTAAACCCGCTCTTACCGCCTAACCCGCCGGGCTAAGTCCATTAAGCTTTTTTAATGTTAATTAAATTAATTTTTTATTTTTAATATAATTTACTTATTTTATTCTTTTTTTATGTTATTACAATACAAATCATATATTTAAATTAAAAATTAAAAGATAAAATCAATTAAAAAACAAAACTAAAGTCTCAACCTCTCACCTTCCAAACCCAATCTCAGTCACCTTCGTCGGCGGCTTCCAGCCTTGTGCAGAAACAAAACCCAGCCTTGTGCAGAAACAAAACCAAAAAGCAAGCCCTTCGTTTGTGCAGAAGCAAAATGCAGATGTAGATGCTAAAACGAAATAGAGCAGGCGAAGTCACCGTCGGCAGGCAAAGTCACCGTCGGCCAACTGCCCTCCCGATCCCAGCCGTCGGTGACTCCACAACTACCTCCCCGATCTCAGCCCTTCGCCGCTCACCTCTTTCTTCCATCAACAGAACAGATCTGCCTCTCCTCCACCAGTCATCGTCCTCTCCGCCAGTATCGTCCTCTCCGCTCACCTCTTTAAAAAAGCTGTTTACCTTTTTTAAATCAACCGGTTGAATCGGTCGGGTGAACCGGTTCAACCGGTTCAACCGGACCCGGTGGCCAAAACGGGCCAACCACCGGGCCGGGTCCAAAAACAATGACTAGAGGTTTCAAAGATAAATTAGGTGAAGGAGGTTATGGTTTGGTTTTCAAAGGAAAGCTTCGAAGTGGCAATTTAGTGGCAGTGAAATTATTGAGCAAATCAAAAGCAAATGGCCAAGATTTCATCAATGAAGTTGCTACCATTGGAAGGGTTCATCATGTTAATGTGGTGCGACTGATCGGATTTTGCGTGGAGGGACCTAAACGAGCTCTTGTATATGATTTCATGCCAAATGGATCCTTGGATAAAATCATATTTTCTGGTGAAGACAACACATCTTTAACTTGTCAAAGAATGTTTGAGATTGCTCTTGGAGTGGCTAGGGGGATTGAATACTTACATCGAGGATGTGAAATGCAGATTCTACATTTTGATATCAAGCCACACAACATCCTTTTGGATGAGAACTTCAATCCAAAAGTTTCAGATTTTGGCCTTGCAAAATTGTATCCAACTGATGACAGTATTGTATCTCTTACTGCCGCAAGAGGTACTCTAGGATACATGGCTCCAGAATTATTCTACAAGAATATTGGAGGCGTCTCATACAAAGCTGATGTCTATAGCTTTGGAATGTTGTTGATGGAAATGGTGGGAAGGAGAAGGAACTTAAATGCATTTGCTGATCATACAAGTCAGATATACTTCCCAAAATGGATTTCTGAACGTTTTGATCAAGGAGAGGATATAGAGTTGGGAGATGTTACTGATGTTGAAAAGAATGTTCTGATGAAGATGGCCATAGTTGCCTTGTGGTGCATACAAATGAAACCTGCCATTCGTCCTTCCATGACCAAAGTCTTGGAGATGCTTGAAAGTGAAATTGATCTCCTTGAAATGCCTCCCAAGCTTACTTTTGCTCCTTTCGAATCGCAAGCTCCAAATCATGGCGGTGTAAGTCTAGCAACCGCGCCAACCATATCGCTTGATGCTAGATCATAATGCTCTACTCCAAATGCATTTCTAGGTAAATGCGCATTCACAGCTAGTGGCATTGAATTTTGTGTCATAATCCTAGATTGTTGCTTTGGTAGATTACCTACTCAATTTTCTTCCTGTAAAATATATCAAATTCCTCGTGCCATTATTCTATTTGTGAATTGCAAACTATCGTTTGAATCAAACTAATCATTGCCAAAATTCCATTATCTTTTAGCAATAACATGTTGAGTAGTATTTTAGATAGACTGCCCCCCTGGTCCATCAACTTAGTAATCAATTTCATTTGGGTTCCTCTTGACTTTGTAACTTACAGGAAATAAACACTGGTGTTCTCAGTCCTTCGTTATGTAACGGGTTTTGGTTTCTTTAATCTGGTTACTTTCCCATTTCCAAAAGTTGGAAGGCAAAAGGCACGTTAATTTTGGCAAAAACTCATTTTTAGCATTTTTTTACTTTATTAAATTTGTAAGTTTTAGTTCTTTATTTTATATTATGATATTTAACCTCTTATTTATTAAAATTAAAGAAAATAACCTTCACTTATAACATTTTGTTAGTTTTATTAACTAACTATTAATTCTATTAACTAACTGTTAACCAGTAAAAACTTATTTTCAGTTAATAGAATTAACAGTCAGTTAATAAAATTATTCTGGTAATTGATTATTATGATTATTAACTCTATTAGCTAATTATTAATTAGTAAAAATTTATTTTCAGTTAACAGAATTAATGATCAATTAAGAAAGTTAATAAAATTAACAGTTAATTAATAAAATTAATGAAATATTATAAAGTGAAGGTTTTTTTTTTAAATTTTAATAGATAAAAGATTAAAAGTGTTATAATAAAAAATAAAAAATTAAAACATACAAATCTAATAAGATAAAAGGTTAAAAATATATCCTTACCCGTTAATTCTGGTCATATCCCGATTTTTGCTTTGCAGTTTTTGATATTTTTACGGTTAAAAATCTATTTTGGTTAATATACTTTAAGAAAAAGGTTTTTTTAATTCTTTTATTTAAAAAAGTTTTTTTTTTTATTTTTAAAATTTAAAATATAATCCTTTTAGTTTCCTCTATTACTTTTTATTAATGTCACATATTCAAAAATATTAAAGTAAAAGAGTTAAAAAAGATTAAAATTTTTTTTTTTTGATTCTTCTATCTAAAAAATTTTATTTTTTTAAAATTTTAAAATTTGATTCTTTATTTTATTTTATTTTTTTTGAACATATTGGCAAGGGCGGCTCAAAACCGCCCAGGAAGAGGAAATGCACCACTGGCTTTATGCCAGTGGGCCTAAAGGGCCGGGTGCCTTTATCCTTGTATTTTAAAATTTTTATTATTTAATCTGACATCATATCAAATAGGATAATGGGAGGAACCCCCCTTCACATTGCCACAATATTTTTCAATTTTCCACTTTTATCCTCCAGTTTTATCACTTTATTCACAAGTCAAGAGTGGTTTTTTTATCATTTGATACTGAATTTTCACTTTTGCCCTCACAACTTTAAGCCCCTGAACCAACCCCAGAATCGCTATTAAGCCCCTAGACTCTAATTGATGCATTTAAGCCCCTGAACTCTACAATCCGAGCAATTTTGCCCCTCCTCTGACAGTCAACTTAACTGCTGCTAACTGCCGTTCGAGGACTGCATCGTGTGGCGAAATGTGGCTGTCTCATGCCTACGTGGCAAGCGATTTTGCATCTGGTTTGCCCACCTTGATGCAAAAAAAAAAATAATAATAAATGATTTAGGGAAACTTTTTTATCTT